TTCGCAGGTTTGAGCTGAACTTCTTGCTCAGGTTTACATGATGGGTACAAGAGATAGGAGGAACTGAATCGATGGAGAGATGAGAACAGGAAGCTTTGGGGTTCAGGGCCCACAGCAGCAGGGGGAAGCCACCACCTCTCAAAAAAAAAAAAAAAAAAAAAACACACACACACACACACACACACACACACACACACAAAACCACTTTTCTTTGCAGAAAATGAGATTAAAAAAAAAAAAAAAAACAACTTCTATACACCATAAAATGCCTGTAAATTCACCTCTCTGGAAACACAATCTCAGGCAGATCAAGCCCCAGGTGGTGAAGACAAATGGCTGGCTGGCTGTCAGAGACAATCTTTCGTTTCTAGAGGAGGTAGATGAGTGCTGGGCATGATTACTCAGATTGCGGCTTGTTTCGGGTCAGAGAGCGAAGTACAGAGTGTGATTCGTACTGTGATAAGCCAATTTCCAAATGGCGTCTTTCACCTCACCCCTGCTTGCTTTGGATTTGACATTGGTTATCCTGGCCAAACCACCTCTCTACACACACACACACACACACACACACACACACACACACACACACACACACACACACCCCCCTCCTCCAGGTCCCTTGTGATAGGAGAAACGAATTCCAAAGCTTTCAATTCAGGAGCAGTGCATGGAGGGAAACGTTCTTGTGCTTTTTTAGTGGCTAGAAGATGCCACTGCTGAGTTTCCTCGCCTTCCCCTGACCTAGATTGTGTGTGTGTCCCCGCCTCCTCATTCCCCTCAGCATACACAGACCCACACCCATGCTCAGCAAAGCCAAGAGCCATTTGATGTTAGAAAGTTTTCTGTTCTCAGCAATTCTCCAGCTCAAATATGGGACATGCTTTTACTAATTACAAACCCTTCCATGTCTTTCAGACCTGGAGTCTTCACTCATAAATATATATATATATGTATATATATATATATATATATATATATTAAAATATATATTAAAAAAAGAATGTATACCAGCCTGGTGGTGGTGGCACACTCCTTTAATCCTAGGACTCAAGAGGCAAAAACAGGCAGATCTCTGTGAGTTCGAGGCCAGCCTGATTTACAGAGCAAGTTTCAGGGCAGTCAGGGCTACACAGAAAAACTCTGTCTTGAAACAAACAAACAGAAACAAAACAACAACAAAAGAGCATATACCTTCAAAAGGGTGTTCATGTGCCAGAGCTCTGTCTATGCTCACCTCATCTCTGTGGGGCTCAAGTAAGTTGTTATTACCCCCCACTTTTCAAATGGCTGATTGATTTGTCCTGTGTCACACAGAACTCAAGCTAGAAACCAGGTTTTCTTGTTCCAAACCTGAAGGCACTATCCCTTTTCTTCCCTCTTAGCAGTGATGTTAAAAGTAATACTAAATGTGATGGTGCACACTTTTAATCCTAGCTTTTGGGAGGCAAACGCAAGCTGGTCTCTGTGAGTTCAAGACCAGCCTGGTCTCCATAGTAAATTCCAGGGTATCCAGAGCTACACAGTGAGACTGTGTCTCAAAAGAGAAAAAATAAAATAAGTAGAGCCTAGACCTGAGGGTAATAGAGAGTTTACCTAGTATACAGGGAGCCCTGGAGACTGTTCCCAGAACAGCGTAAGCATAAGGTGTGATGGTATTTGCCTGTAATCTCAGAACTCCAAGGATAGGGGCAGGAAGATTAGGAATTCATGACCAACTTGAGCTGTGTAGGGATTTGGAGGCTAGCCTAGGCCTTATGAAACCCTGTTGATGGAAGAAAGGAAGGAAGGATTGGGTTTTACTGTGGAAGAGAGAAATCCAAGGTACCCAGGACTTCCACTCCTACCCCTTCTGGATGACTCTTGGAAACCCCAGTCACCAGCTCCTGACTACCTCCTACATCCAACACATACATCCGCAGCCCACTGAGTTTTTCTTCTCAGTTGAAGAATTCAACTGGAATTCACCAGCTACAAGCTGAAGCCCACAAGTCCCTCCTGCTCCTCCTTCTCCTCTCTATTTCAGTAAAGACATCACCACCCACTCAGTCTCCCAAGCTAGAAATCCAAAGTTTTCCCAGAATCCCCTTCTCCCTCAGCTACCCCAAATGGTTACAAAATCTCGCCTGATTTTGCTTCCTCGAATCCTCTGAAATAGGTCCTTGCCTCTTCTTAGCTCAGACCCCATTGTCCCTGACCTGTTGGGTGACACCCATCTTCCTTCTGACCCTCCCCTGGCTTTACCCCACCCCCAGCTTATCTTCAAAGCTCCTTCTAAACTCTCATTCTTACTGCCATTTCCTGGCTTAAAATTTTGGGGGGGGTTCTCAATAAATCTGAAAATAAAACTCCAGAATCTTCAACAATGGGCCATAAAGCCCTGTACTTCTAACTTCCCCAGTTTAACCCCAGCTTGAATGAAGACCTTGAACTCCAAGGATGCACCACAGTGTGGTTCCTCAGTCATCACATTTGACCTAGTTAGCTCATGGCATTGTCTGGAGAGGCCTCCAGGCAGTCTCTCCCATCTTCCCTCCATTCTCCCCCCCCACCCCCACCCCAGCATCTCCACCCATGAAAGCATCTCCAGCTACAACAAAAGAGAAACAACTACTTAAGCAATAGCAAAGAGTTCATATTCTCCAAGCCCAGAAATGGGGGAGGGGCTGTTGGAAAGAGATTCCAGGGACTTGGTGATACCATCATAGGTTTCCCAGTCTCTTATGAGGCCACCTTTGGGTAGAGTCATTGTTCCAGTCTAGGCCCACATGCTTTAGAAACATTCTCAGTGAAGATAGCAAATACTTTCAAGGGTGTCTTGTTTTCTGAAATAAATGGATACACACGCAGTCATGTCTGCTGAGTGGTGTGAGGGACCAAGGCAGGTGACCATATATGGGTAGCATTCGAGGAGGGCCCTGTAGTAATGAGACAGAGTTCCTGGTTTGTTTAGGATATGACTCTAAGTTTATAGATGGCATCCCCAAAGTGTCTCTGTAGAGAGCCCCCCTCCCACCCAAGTTCTTACTCTGTGTCCTGAAACACTACTATATAGCTCAGGCTTGCCTCCAACTCACAGAAATCCTCCTGCCTCACCTTCCTGAGTGTTGAGATGACAGGCACAAGGCACCAGACCTGTACTGTCATCCCAAGTAGTTTGAACCCTATCCCAACCAATTCAAAATTCAAAATGGAATATAAACATTATAGTTTAGAAAGCTGGTCTTGCTTAGGTATCTAAGTTATAATCTCTGTGTTTAAAAATAAATTTTTGGTCAGGCATAATGATCTACCTCTATAATCCCAGTACTTGGAAGGTAGGAGCAGGAAGATCAAGAGTTCAAAGCTGTTCTTCATAGTTAGTGCCAGGCCAGCTTGAGCTACGTGTGAACTTGTCTCAAAAAAACAAAACAAAACAAAACAAACTAATGAATTAAAGACTGATGAGACAGCTCGGTAAGTGACTTTGACCCTTGGGACCCACAACCACCAAAAGTTGTCCTCAGACCTCCACTAGATATGTTGTGGTACATTTGTCCACATGCACATAAATAAATGAGTGTAAAAGCCTAAAATTGTAAGAAGGGATTCAGAGCATTGTCTGAGTGCTAGGTCTGAGCTATAATGGGATGACATGAGCAGGTAACCTCGAGTGGAGAAAAATAATGGTGTAAAAAGAAGCCAAATACCAGAGTTAAATTGTGTGCTCCCTTCTTCCTCACTAAGCCCTGATGGCTGACGGCCCACCCTTAGGCTTATTTCCTCTTTGCCCTACAGCCCCTTTCCTGCTGCTTGGTGTCCTCACATCAGAGTCATTGTCCTTTGTTCTTTTCCCCCTAGATACTAAGCAATCAAGAGGAGTGGCTCAAGGCGGAGCTCAGAAGCCAAGAAGGATATGTGCCTAAGAATTTTATAGATATTGAGTTTCCTGAGTAAGTATTTCCAGCCTGCCAAGATGGGTCTACCCACACATGCTCCCCTTACTTTTTCAGTCGTCACTAAAATTATCCATGCATACCCAAGGAACTGTCAGAAATGGCTGCCTCTGGAGATCTCCCTCCCCAGCCTCCAGAACCTCACAGCGGAAGGCCAGAGTGGGAGGAAGATTTATTTGCACGGCATCACTTTCCCTTCTGAAGTTTACACCGTGTGCATGGATTGCCTATTTAATTTTTTATATAAAAAATGAGCTTAAAAGTTAAAATCACCTATAATGAATGCAGTTGCAGAATCTCCAAGAATTCCAAAGGGGGCGCTGTTGGACATCCCATTTCAAAAGCCATTCCTGCAAAGCTCTTCTCCATAACTGCCTAATGTTGCCTTGCATTCCACCCTAAGCAGGGATCCCAAACTGTCTGTAGTTGCTCACTCTAGTCAGCTAGAGGGGAGGGGGAAGGGAAATTCCCTCTAGAAAGAGGAAATGAAACACTGAGATTGAGCTGTGTTTGTCTCAAGAATTGACCACAAGGGTTAGATAGAAATCTAATCTTGTCTCAGAGCCAGGGTCTAGCCTCAAGAGTATAGGCTTTATCAAAAACAAAACAAAACAAAACAAAACAACTTAGTAGTATTGGTGACTCTG